CACTCGCATCCCTGCAATCACTGTCCTCCGCGGACGCAGTTTGGAGCCCGCGGCACTCATCCGAGACGCACTACTACCCAACGTTCGAACCCCCCGGGCGCTCTCCGAGTCCCCTTCCCCGTCTCCCCCAGCTCCCCACCTGCATATATCCATCTCACCCCGCGCAACATGCCTCCTGGCGACGCTCCGGTCATGATGATCCCGAAATCGGCACCTGGAATCGGTAATGGCAACATCACCCCCTCCGTCATCAACGCCTGGGAACACGGATGCCTCCAATTCTTCCGCGACCGCAACATCGCCGAAGAGGACAAGGTATTCAAGGCCTGCATGTATATCTCCCACGACATTATCCGCGACTGGTACCGCACCGACAGCTGCCGCTTCGATGGCATGGATTTCGACGAATTCCTCGCTGAGCTACGCGCGAATCACCTCCCCATGAACTGGGACGTCGACATCAAGACTCAGATCATGAATGCCAGACAGCGCGAGAACCAGACTTTCCTGGATTTTGTCTTGGGACTCGAGGTCCTCAACACCCAGTTACGCGCTTCCTCGTCTCGCTTCTCAACCGAGGGACTGCGACTCATCATCGAGACTCGCGTCTGCGACAGCCTCCGCCCGCTCATCCAGTCGGACGACATCCAAGCGATTCCGCTCGACCAATATGTCCGATGGAAATCGGCGTGTGCTCGTGCCGATGACCAACGCCGACGTCAAGTCGACGTCATCATGCAGATCCTCGCGGCCAACCCAGCTCCGGGCGGCCGCCGTGGCAATCCTCCTGTCACCTCTGGCTCCTCGACCAAGGCTTCGCTCCCTCAGCTCACCGCAGCGGAGCGACAAATCTTGACGTCTAACAAGGGATGTTTCAAATGCCGACGCCTCAACGTCGTCAGCTCCACTCACATGTCCGGGAACTGCCCCAACGGTGCCCCGGACGGTGCCACGTACATCCCCCTCACCACCAAGTACCCGCACCTCACCACCCAAAGCCAAGCGTCCAAGGAAAATGTTCGCCCGAAGCGCATCATCGCCAGCGTGAACGAGGAGTCTCCAGAAGTCGAACCTACCACCATCGCCGCTATTGCCGCTGTAGGATCCTCTCCCTTGGCACACACTACAGGCATCCTCGGCACTGGTTCTGACTCTGACGAATCGTGCGTGCCCCCTCTTTTTGCCCCACAAACCTTTCTTCGTGCGCGCCTTGTGCCCGATCCCGATGCCCCCGTTTTTGACATGCTCATTGATGGCGGTGCTGGTCCAGTGTTGGTTAGGCGCGACGTCGCTGTATCCATGGGAGTGCCGCTACGGCGGCTCCCCACTGCACATAGGCTGGGAGACGCATGGGGAAAGGTTTCGGAAGGCATGAGGAGTGAGGAATGGGTGAAGTTGAGAGTTCTTTTACCGGATTTTTCATGGTCGTCTCGCGTGTGTCGCGCTATCGTTGTCGATAATCTGTGTGCCCCTGTAATATTAGGCAAGACCTGGCTCGAATCAAACAGCATCGTTGAAGATCACGCCGCACACACGCTCCTCAACAAATCCACTGGTCGCAACCTCCTCTCTCCCCCTCCCCTTCCTACTCCGCCCCAGCGGACTCCACGTGAACGACGTTTGGATGCGCAGAACGTGCAGCGCGACGTCCTCTGCGACCTTTTGACACACACAGCCCCCCAGCGACTGGCTGCCGACACCGCTGTTCCTGACACCACCTCCCTCACTATCTCCGCTGTCCGCACACACGTCGAACGCCTCGCTCTCCTCGAGACCCTAGACCGTGAAAATACCGCCATGAAGACCACCTTCTCCGACCGGTTCCCTTCCGACATCCCCCACATCGATCAGCTCCCTTCCGACGTCCACCACCGCTTTATCCTGAAGGACGCCAACTTAGTCATCGCGCGACGCCAATACGATTGTCCTAAGAAATACCGCGAAGTATGGAAGTCGCTCCTGGATGAACACATTGCTGCAGGACGGCTCCGAGAGTCGGACTCTCCGTACGCCTCCCCAGCATTCCTCATCCCGAAGTCTGACCCCACAGCGAAACCCCGATGGGTTAATGACTATCGAGCCCTCAACTCGAACACCGTTGCCGACATGCACCCGCTCCCTCGTGTTTCTGATATTCTCGCAGATTGCGCCAAGGGCAAAATCTGGGGAAAACTGGACATGACGAACTCATTCTTTCAAACCCGCGTTCACCCAGACGACGTTAAGTATACCGCCGTCACAACCCCCTTTGGCCTCTTTGAATGGACGGTAATGCCGCAGGGTTGTCGCAACGCCCCGTCGACACATCAACGCCGAATGAACAAAGCCTTGCGACACCTCATCGGGACTGTCTGCCACGTTTACATTGACGATATTATCATTTGGTCCCAGACTCTCGAAGAGCACCGCCGTAACGTACAGCGTGTCTTACAGGCGCTTCGCGACGCGCATCTCTACTGCTCAGACAAGAAGACCCAGCTATTCCTTCTTGAGGTCGACTTCCTCGGTCACCACATCTCGGCTCGCGGTGTCGAACCTGACAAGCAGAAGATCGACAAAATCCTCAACTGGCCCACACCACGCTCCGCAACAGCCGTCCGCGCTTTCCTTGGTCTTGTACGATATGTCGCCAGTTTTCTGCCCGATCTTGCTTCTCATTCTGTCGTGCTCACACCTCTCACATCTAAAGATGCGGAGAAGAGTTGGCCAGATTGGCAACCTGCACACCAGGATGCTTTCGACGCCATCAAGAAGCTTGTCTGCAGCCACCGCTGCCTCACCGTCATCGACCATGACGCCCTCGACGCGAATTCGATTTTCGTCTCGTGTGACGCGAGCGACTTGCGTACTGGCGCGATGCTCTCTTTTGGCCCGACACTCGAGTCAGCCCGTCCTGTCGCCTTCGAATCCGCCCATCTCAGCGGCGCTGAGCTGAACTACCCCGTCCACGAGAAGGAGTTATTGGCCATTGTCCGCGCCCTCAAAAAGTGGCGCGTCGACCTCCTGGGTGTCCCTTTCACGGTCTTCACTGACCACAGAACCCTGGAGAACTTTCATCGCCAACGCGACTTCTCCCGTCGACAAGCCCGCTGGCAGGAGTTCCTCGCGCAATATGACTTCGAGATCAGGTATCTCAAAGGCGAGGACAATGTCGTCGCTGATGCCCTGTCCAGGATGGACTTTTCTGCACACTCCTCGTGCGCCGCTGTAACCGAGATGCGACAAGCGACTCGCGCACTCCGGCTTTGCAGTAGCGGTAGCAACGAGCGGGATGGCGCGTCCGCGCTTGTCGCGGCCGTCCCACACGGTAGCTTACGCGTTTCCACAGACCCAGCCTGGCTCGACGCCATCCGGACAGGCTATCTATCGGACAAGTGGTGTCACCGCCTGCGAGAGAATGTCGGCACTCTGGGTATCCGCGAAACCGACGGGCTACTGTTCGTCGGAAACCGCTTGGCGATTCCCCGCATTCCGCACATCCGAGAGGGTATCTTTCGGTGCGCTCATGACGCCCTTGGCCACTTTGGCTTCGAAAAGTCATACGCTGCCCTGCGGGACGCCTATTACTGGCCGAACATGCGTAAGGAACTGGCGGAACTCTACATTCCCTCATGCGACGACTGCCAACGCAACAAGGGATCAACCTCTAAGCCATCTGGTCCGCTACACCCACTCCCGATTCCTCATGCCCGAGGTGAAACCGCCACGATCGACTTCGTGGGACCGCTACCGCCCGACAGCGGTTTCGATTGTCTATGCACCATCACCGACCCCCTCGGCGCCGATATTCGTCTCATACCCACACAGACAAACGTCACCGCTGAAGAATTTGCCGTGCAATTTTTCGACGGTTGGTACTGCGAAAACGGCCTACCTTTGCATATTGTCTCCGACCGCGACAAACTCTTCACGTCCGCGTTCTGGACGTCGTTACACAAGCTCACTGGTGTCAAGCTCAAGATGTCCACTTCCTTTCACCCCCAGACCGACGGCAGCTCCGAGCGCACCAACAAGACCGTCATCCAATGCTTGCGCTACCATGTGGCGCGCAACCAACGCGGATGGGTGCGCGCCCTGCCCCGCGTTCGTTTTGGGATCATGAGCGCCATAAACGCGAGCACTGGCTTCTCGCGGTTCCAGCTCCACATCGGTCGTCAGCCTCGCATTCTTCCTCCCATCCTCTCGGCCGACGCACAATCTGTCGCGCTCGACGCGCCTGACGAGACGCGACTCGCCGAGAACATCCTGTCGAGCATTGAGACTGACGTCTTCGAGGCACAGGACAACCTCCTCGCAGCCAAGCTGGCGCAGATCACCGCGGCGAACCGAGGCAGGTCCGAGGATCCTCCTTACGCCGTCGGAGACCTCGTGCTCCTCTCCACCTTCCACCGTCGGCGCGACTACATGCGCAAGGGAGATAACCGCGTGGCGAAGTTCGTAGTACGCTACGACGGCCCCTACAAAATAATCCGTGCGTTCCCCGGGTCATCATCTTATACCCTAGAACTACCCCCTTCCATGTGCATGTTCCCTACGTTTCACTCGTCCCTTCTCAAACCCTTCCGAACCAACGATGACTCTCTATTCCCTTCTCGTGCCTTCGTCGCGCCTCCTCCTATTTTCACCGAGGACGGCATCGAGGAGCAAGAGGTCGAGGCCATTATCGACCACCGTCGGCGTGGGCGTGGCTTCCGCTTTCTCGTACATTGGAAAGGTTTCCCATCATCCCATGATTCTTGGCTTCCTGGTTCGGAGTGCAAGGATCTTGCTGCCTTAGACGCCTACCTGGTAGACCATCCCGCTTTACGTTCAGCTTTCCCGGATATCTAGTTTGTTTTAGAGGTGGGGAGAGTGTAAGCCCCACTCTACGTCATGGCCTTACTTGACACTCTTCACATATTACGTACGCATACAGTTATATAGTTGACGTCCTATACCGTGTCTCCTAGCTCTGCTCACCACGGTATAGGTACGTATTCTCATACACATGTATTCTAGCTCTGCTCACCACGGTATAGATCTCGTTCTAGTTTTACATCCCGAGCTTCAGTGAGGAGGTTCTGTGAACCTCCTTTCACTGAGTCACCTATTGAACTGGGTGAGTGCCCAGCTGTGTCTCGAAGCTATGCTTGTCAGCTGATACAGTGTCATCCAAGGTACTTGTGAATACTGTATCTAAACATGTTGCGTCCTGAACATGGAGCTCTTGACCTTTTTCCGGTCCCTTGCAAGGGATTGCTAGATCGAAGGGTCAGTTCTTCTCGGCCATGTTACTCCAGTCTTCCCATCGTAATTACTGGCGTACCAAGATGTCTTTGAAGGTTGAGGACATCAGCTCGAAGTGTGATATACACGTGTACAGCGCAGCGTACCAATAGCCGGGGCAGGTCTAAGTAATACGACGGAAGCCGGATCAGGAAGAAGCGGCGCTGTATACAGACCCTGGTGAAGGCCCTTCCGTACAGCCCGACGGGATCATGCCTGAGATGATCAGGATCAGAGTTTGGATTACTACATTGTTATACAGTCCCGAGAACGGCATCTCGGGTCACGACTCACACATCATACTGTTGCGGGCGTCGGGGTTCGACTTGAGTCGACCTTGCTCAGGAAGATCATCTTCGTGGCGAATATCGGCGGCACGCCGCAACAGAAATGTCGCCTGGTGGATCCAACGTCCCTTCACCTCTTCGATTGTAGCTTTTTCTCCATCTACGATGACCTCCACACCTTTTGTGAGATATACACCTCCGCTTGAACCATCTCACTCAGAAATGCATCGATACGGTGAGTCGCCGCTAGAGACGTTCCCTACGAGCCGATTCTAAGCCAGAGATTCGGCCGGAACCTGATTTCCGTATGCAGGTAGCTCATATTCCGTTCGCCCCGAGAGGGCCTGCTATGGTTTACGCATAGAGCATAACGGCCTAGGTTGCAGCAGATACATTCAATGAAGTACTGAGATTCGCATTACGATCACGAACAGTACTCTAAGTTTCTCTACACAATGTCTCACGATCATGCAGCCGCCGTGACCGGGGCTCGTCAGTCTAAGAGATAGTCGCCAAGCTGGCTTCTAGAGAAAGCCTTGAGGACAGCCTCCCGGCTGTATTGTCCTCGGCTCGAATCCAAAGCATCATCGACAAACTGAACTTTGTTGGGGTATGGCGGCATCTCAGGCTCCACCTCGTACCACTCCCGCTCCATGTCCGAATCGGTAACCTCGCCCTCGCCCTCGTATTTGGCTTCGTTCCAATCCTTGTTCTCAACGCAAGAGTCGCCCATATCTGCTTCCGAGCCGTCTGCGGAGGAATTCGTCTCCGCATCCTCAGGACTAGAAGGCATCGAGCGGTACACATACTCGCCCTCCGAGTCCGAGTCGTCATCCTCCGGCAGCCTCGGGTCCCCCTCCGCGCCCGAGTGCTCACTACCGTCGTACAGGATGTCGTCCACGACCGCCCATGAGTGCTGCCGCACCAGAGCCTGGGAGAGGACCGTTTCGATGCCCCCTGTCGTGCGCAAGAGCCAGTCGACATGGTCGTCGGAATCGTCAGAATCGTCGGCACCAGGCAATTCTGTGATATCCTCGAACACGCGATCCGAGCCGGGAAGAATGGACGGGTGGAAGATGAGGGGCAAGGAGGGTAGGCCGATGAGCATCCCGACGATGACGAATCGGACCTTTTTCAGCTGTGGAACGTGCGCTGTCGGCGCGAGAGCCATGGTCCGGTACGACGACACGAATCTGACAGGGTGTGTTTCAATATCGAGGTAGCGGAGGGTTGACGAACGGATGTCGAGTGCCATGCGTGCGTCGTGCGGAATGGGCATGGCGAGATGCGATATCTCGGGACAGAGATCTCGGAGGCGCGGAAGAAATTCGATGTTCGCATTCATGTATTGAATACGGTGGGAAGAGTAGGTCAGGTTGAGGTAGGTCAAATTTGTGCCGTGCGATTTGAGGAGGGCGATCGGAATGTCTTCGGCGTGCACGCAGGCCAAGTACGCTAAGCGTGGCACGGACCACCGCGTGGTGACATATTCGAGGAATGAGGGGCAGTCGCAGTGGATTGATAGTGTCGTGAGTGCGTGGAAAGTCACGTCCGGCAGACACGTTATCGGATAGGAATATCCCGGTGACTCGTCATCTATACTTCCAAGGGTCAGGGAGGTGAGATTGTTGCTGCGGGAGAGGGTGCAAGCGAGTGTCAAAAGAGAAGCTCTGCTCAGCGAGGTGAAATCCAAGGTCTTGAGACGAGAAAGCTTCTGGACAACGAAGTCTTGAGGGCCTGCATGCGTCAAGTCCAGTATCCACGCCGGATCAAAGGCAGCATAGCCATTTGGCAGCCTCCCGTGAGGCAGATCAAGTGAGTCAGGAAAGTAGGCATGGGGATGCGGATGGCAAGAGAAGGAGACGAGATTTGTGCACTGGCCTAGGATGTATTCAAAGTCTTCACGTACGACGTCGGCACAGTGTGTCAAGACGACACACGTTTCCATGCAGATGGCTCGGACAAGCAGGGAAAGCCTCCGATCACTGCGGAATGTGCTTGTGAGAGCAGGGATCTGGCCCATCCTCCTGATGACGATATCGGAGTAGAGAAGTTCGGTCGCGGAGGGTGACCATGCTTTGCAGACGAGGACTAGAGCCTTTTTGGTTTTGAGGGTTGTGAGCCAAGGATTCCTGGGACCTTTGAGTATGGACGGATCGTAGGTATAGGATGGAGGTTGAGTGAGCTTGAATACGGCGAGAAGGATCTCATTAGGTAAGGCAGGTGGCGGATACTGCGTTGGATAGGTCAGGAATCACGTGATACGTAGAGCGAGAGCAAGCAATCCCACCATCATCGACGCTCCGGACGGCCGCAACAGGTTCCTACGCTGGAAGTGAAAGCTTGGATAGGCAAATGTATCCCGCTAGATAGCTTCCCGGTTGGCACGTACGGCGGCCTTGCGCTTCTTTGATGATTCCTGTTGGTGAGGCGGGATGACGATGCCTTGGATCTGTTTGCTGCAGGAGACAGCTGTACTGGTAGCAGCAGGAGGGCGAGCAATAGCGCACGACGGAGAATATTGCTGTACCCGTAACAATCCCGGATGGTGGGTTCAAAGAAGGTCTTGCAATTTTGTAACGACGGCCTGCAGATATCAGCCGGCCCGATGGAGATCAATCTCGATGCAATCGGGGCGTGGATCTGCCACCGGAGAGTTGAGTGCCACAGTCGAGCAGCGAGCTTTTGTCCTGAGGACTGTCCTGTTCCTCTCGACAGGCCCTCCTCCATCTTGCAAACCCCTCTGGTCCTCATGTTGCTCACGATCACATAGTACCAGTCCCAGCCCTCTTTCTAGCCTTCTGTCGTCAATTTGTCTCGCTTGCACTCGACCCCGGACCGACGCGACGACCATCTCGGCGACTCGTGGACCTCCGTCTCTTCATTCGGCGACCCGCGCAGCTATCGATAATGTCTAAAAGGAGGGTCGCATACTACTATGATCGCACGTAATCTCTTTCTTCCTGCTGCTCATGCCCGACCTTGCTCAACCGGACATTCAGCCGATGTGGCTGCCTACTCCTACGGCGTCCACCACGCCATGAAGCCCCAGCGGATGCGCATCACTCATGAGCTAGTTCAAGCATATGACATGCTTCCAAAGATGAGCGTACTTGTACGTATTTCGTCTTTCCCGCTCTTGTTCCCGAGACGCAGCCTCTTACTCCCCATCGCCGCCCTCAGCGTCCCAAACGCGCTACCCCCGAGGTCATGACGCGTTTCCACACGGACGAGTACATCAACTTCCTTACCAAGGTCACTCACGAAAACGTCCGCAGACTGACGTACCAAGGCACGCGCTTTCTCATTGGCGAAGACAACCCCCCATTCGAGGGCGTGTTCGAGTTCTCGTCCATATCCGCCGGTGGCTCCATTGGTACGTTGCCCCACTCCGCTCTGCCCCTTCGTTCTGAGTCCCGTTTCCTCTCTTCCACTTAAAGCCGCCGCAAAGCGCCTTATGGAAGGTCAGTCCGACATCACCATCAATTGGGCCGGAGGGCTGCACCACGCCAAGAAGCGCGAGGCGTCCGGCTTTTGTTACATTAACGACATCGTCCTCGGTATCCTCGAAATGCTCCGCTATGTTCCCCGTGTGCTCTACATCGACATCGACTGCCACCATGGCGACGGCGTTGAGGAGGCCTTCTGGATGACCGACCGCGTCATGACCTTATCTCTCCACAAGTTTGGCGAGTTCTTCCCCGGCACTGGTCTTCTCGAAGACAGGGGAAGGGACAAAGGATTTGGGTATTCGGTCAATATTCCATTGAAGGACGGTATCACAGACGAGTCATACAAGAGCATATTTGAACCTGTACGTGCTGTAACCCTGCCGCAGCAACCTTGCGCTCCGCTCACATCTCTACGTACAGGTGGTAGACAAGATCCTGGATGTGTTCCGCCCCTCCGCAATCGTCCTTCAATGTGGTGCGGACTCGCTTTCGGGCGACAAGCTCGGTGGCCTCAACTTGACCATGCACGGCCACGGGCGCTGCGTGCAGTACATTCGCTCCAAGAACATACCGCTCATGCTCTTGGGTGGGGGCGGGTACACCGTGAAGAACGTTGCGCGCGCGTGGACGTACGAAACCGCATGCGCGTTGGGAATCGAGAACGACATCGATCCAAACCTGCCCTGGAACGAGTACTTCGAGTGGTTCGGGCCGCGGTACCGGCTCGAAGTACAGGAGAGCAACTTAGAGGATTTGAATCTGAAGGACGGTTCCCTCAACGAGATTCGGTTTGTGCTCGCTGACATCTGTCCCGTGGACCTGATACAAATTGGATGATCGCGTTGGAATAGGTCGCGATGTCTCAGGTACCTTTCAGAACTCGGTCCTGCGCCCTCAGTGCAGATGCAGGACGTTCCAAGGGAAGGTCTCGGTGAACACCTCGGCCTCAATGGCGTGCATGCCCATGCGCCCATCGACGATCTTGACGAGCGGCTTGCGCGTATGTGTTCCTGCACTTCAATCGCTTTATATACCTCATGCTTATCGTACCTGCGATAGAACACGCCCGCATGGTGTACGACATTCAGAGCCAATCCGACCAGACTGATTCCGAGCAGGAAGACGATGCATCCGACGACGAGTCCCCGTCCCGCCGACGAGGCCGATCTTCGCGCCGGCTGCGTAACGGCCGTCAGCGGATGAGTATTGTCACCTCCAAATACTTCGACGTGCCCCGGCTCCCGCCCGAGTTCGAGCGCGACCTCACGCATGATGACGATTTCGGGTGCGGTCACGAACCTTGGAATGTGAGTATAGGAAACGGGAAAAAGAGGCGGTTCTTTGAAAGCGGGGCAGAGTGGGACCCGGTGAAGAGGGTCATTACGGAGCGCGCGAGGGCGGGCGTGAGGGTGTACGAGCACGCGCAAGTCGTGAATGGCATTCCGAATGGGATTGAGGTTGGTGTCCGGGAGAAGGATAGAGACAGTCTGCAGGAAGAGGCTGAGGAGGAGTTGGATGTTGAGCCGGATCCGGAGGACGAGGAGTAGATTGATATGACACTTTATTGGACGATTCGCGTATCGACCGTCTTATGTATCAACAGGTATCCTTGGATGTATCTTGAGAGCACAAATGATCGCTAGACGAGTCTGGACGAAAACGAAACGTCTGTAACGGACGAACAGGGCGCGAAGACACGATCCAGACCAGAGAACTAACCCTATCAACGGAGACAATATGTACATTCACCCAATGAACTTGTACACGCCCAACCTCTCCACACCGCCGCAAATTTCGAAGCCCGCATCGCCCGGGAGGGGGCAGAGAGAGTTACAATCCGTCTCGTTGGCCTTCGTCGCGCCCGCCGTAATTCCTTCGTTGGAACACTGGCATTCGCTGGCATTCTCCAAGCCCGCAAACGAGAAGCCTGCATGCGAGCACGCCTGAAGGCACTGGTTCACGAGGTCGAGGTTGGAGGCGAGGTTCTGCAGCGTGACGGTCGCGAACGCGGGCGTCTCGACAGTATCTACGATACATCCCTGGTACGCCCAGCTGCCGGGGCGAAGAGCAGGGACCGTGTACAGCTATATGTCGCACGACAGGCATCAGTATTAGAGTGCATGCGAAGACAACGGCGAGCTAACCTGAATACTCCACACCCCACCGCAGGACAAGTTCGCGTCGCCAGGGCAAGCCATGTCGCACACTGCCGCGGTACCCTCGTCGAGCGGAGCCTTGAGGCCCGTCGCGCAGTGGCACTCGTCCCCGAACTCGACGCCGGCATAGCCGAAACCACCCGCAGCGCACGAGGTGATACAAGCCGCAGGACTGTTGTCCTCGGTCACTGTGGTCACATCCCCCGCTAGGATGCGAGCGGGGTTGTCGACCGCGCAGGTGGAGAGCGTCGTCCAGTTGAGAGGTATAGCGGGGGCTTCAAAAGCCCGCGCCGCGTGCATGAGGGCAAATAACGTCAAGACAGAAGTCAGCAGAGGTGTCATATTGTGAGACGGAGTCACGGAGTTTGTAGACTGCTATGCGAGGAGACGAGTGTGTTGAAGCCTGCAGGCCAGCGACAGAGGACGAATGCATTATATACGCGCAGGGGCAAGGGATAGGAGGTAAGTCCGGAGACGTGCAGTGAGAACGCGCCGATGAACCAAGTTTGTAGCTTGAGTGAGCGTTCGTGTCAAGGGCGCCGAAGGGAGAACCACCGGCGTTGCGCCAGGTCCACTGCGCGCCCAGGACGGACCGAGGACAGTAGGGCCTTCGCATGAGTATCCTCAGCTACTTCGAGGACAGAAAGCCCGTACAAAGGCCTGCCGATCGTCACAGAAAGGTACGTCGGAGAGTAACCCGGAGACAGTATTGAACAATTTGAAGTGGAAGACACTAAGGCACGAGGAGGATGGACGCGATGACGGAGCCTTGAAGTTTCAGGCACCGACGTCGGTACGAAGGCAGATATGGCGGCCTCTGAGTCGATGGGGTACCTGTGTGCAACATCTTGACTGCATGCACTATTTCAATTGGCTGCGATCCATGCGCTGCATGTTTCTGGAAACGACAAGGAAGCGAGGGGCAGGCCACGGCTGCTGTTGGTCAAGATACCTGTCAACACCGAGTGATACCCTCACCTCGAACATGCCACTACGAGGATGCCAACCCAGAGACATTGTATGCAGATCCGATCGCGACAAGGGTTGGCCCTGGTAGTTACGTCCCAAGCGGAGGTCCGTCAGGACCCGGGAATCGAAGGGCAGTCGGACCGGCAACGGGGACGTCTCAAGCCTTCGTCCATCGAAGCTGATCTTCACGCAGCTCATACTCTACACAAAAGTTCCAAAAGACAAAGTGTAGATTCTCCCTCCACTCAGGGAGCATGATACCCATTCAACGCACAGCGGAGGACTGCAATATCCCTAGACCAGACATGTTCTCCGCGTGGGAACAATGCCATCCCCGGAAGGCAAGACTCGGCGAACGAACGAAAGGGATACATGCCATTTCGGAAGCGGCACATATCATGACCCTTCTGAAGCACGGTCTAAGAATTGAGTCAATAGAGTGGGAGAGGTGTAGCGGCCGGTGGCCTGCACCAGGGCGGTGGAAGAGAAGACTTGAGATGTTTTGTAACAGGCGCTTCTGCTTCCATGTTAGGGCGTTCGCTTTCGGCATCTGCCCGCCGGCTTCGACCCCTTTCGCTCACTCGCCGCGACGTCACGATGGTAAGTAGTTTGCTTTCCAACCCTTGGATGTGTAATCACTGCGATATCAAGCATAGTGCTATTCATCATGCTCAAAAACAGCTGACGCTACCGTGAAACTAAACATCTACCAGTAACCTCGCATTCGTTTCGCTCAAGTAGCATCCGATGCCTATCACCATTCTGGATATGACTCCAGTGCGCATACTCAGGCCCCAAGTAAACACACCCCACCTCTCTCGCTATGAAGCGTCGATCTTGTTCGCCCACACTGAAGCTAGGTGATCGTCCGGAGAATCGGACATTGTATGAGCTTAGAGCTGAGAGTGCTTTGTCAGATTCTATCTTATCAAGCAGAGAATCGTGGGATGGTATATCATCAGCTAGCACTCGCTATCCAGTACTACTACCAGGTACCTTTCCCCATCACAGCAATCACAACAGCGCCCTGATCTTAGGATATTGCCCCCTCAACCAACAGTACCAGAATGGCCGGCAAAATATCCATCTTCGTGACCGGCGTGACTGGTACGAACTGCCGCTCCATGACCAAACAGCACCGCACTCACCTCCTTTTCAGGCTATATTGGAGGCACCTTGCTAGTTCGCCTCTTGAACCATCCTGATGCTGACACCTTTGACATCACCGCTCTTGTGCGCAACCCCGAGAAAGCTCATTTACTCGAGTCCAAGTTCGGCGTGAAGACACTCATTGCGTCTCATGCGGAACACGATAGGATCGAAGAGGCTGTAGCAGCAAATCACATCATCCTTCAGATCGTACGCAATCTCTGACGTCCAACGGCGTTCGCTTTATTACAAAATTGACTGCGGTGTTCCAGTCTGACTCCGATGACGAGCCTCTGACCAAAGCAATATTGAGAGGTCTCAAGAGAAGACACGACAAAATCGGCGATCTACCTATACTCATTCACACCGTAAGCAATCGACGCGCATACTCTCGTAGCCAGCACTCAATCAATTTACGCAGTCAGGAACGGGACTTCTTATCGACGATGCGCGCGGCGAATACCCCACAGAAACCATCTACAGCGACCTCAACGTTGAGCAGCTCAAGTCCATTCCTCCAACAGCGTACCACCGCAACGTCGATCTGCTCGTCGTTGGTGCTGACGAGGAAGGATACGCACGAACACACATCGTTATCCCCTCGACCGTGTATGGCATCGCAACGCACCCACTTGTCAAAGCGGGCATATCCAACCCGCACTCCATACAGATCCCTTCCCTCATACGCTTCTCTCTCGCGCGCAAGCGCGCGGGCGTCATCGGCAAGGGCCTGTCCTTGTGGCCAAATGTGCACATCGACGACAGTGAGTGACACCCTATACATACTCTTCGTGAACAGAATGATCGAGAGGAAACCCTCTTCACAGCCGCGGACATATACATTGTCCTCCTCGATAGCATCCTCCACCACCCCGACACGACCGGACACGGCTGGGAAGGTCTCTACTTTGGTGAGTCCGGCGAGCACCGCTGGCTCGACATCAGCCTCGCGATCGGGCGCGCTATGTACGAGCTCGGGCTCGCGGACAGCCCCGAGCCGACGCCCTTCTCGCACGACGAGATCCTCAAGTACTTTGGGAGCGAATGGCGTGGGTACCTCTTTGGGACGAATTCGCGGGCTCGGGCGGATCGGACAAGAGCCCTCGGATGGAAGCCGAAGCACTCGACGGAGGACTTGCTGGCGAGCATCAAGCCAGAGGTCGAGGTGTATGCCAAGAAGCAGTAGAAACCTCCGGAGGATGGAACGTTGTCTGCATAACTTCTGTTATCATGCCTTCTCATCCGTGTCTGCATGAATGAGGTGCCTCCTGACCCACGTCGCGGCAGATAATTCACTGGCTCACTGTACACGCCCCCTTCACCACAATCAATCTGTATACATAGGTGGCGCGACTGTAGCGTTAGTGACTCAATACGAGCAAAGTTAGGGTGGGAAAGGAGCCCACAACTTTACACCGCCATGCTACCACTCTTAGTCTTCCGATATGTTTGGAATACACTTATGAGCTCTCTCGTGACTACGTAAGTAATAGGTGATAGTTTCAGGATGACCGACTAGCCCTAATCCGTGCCTGCTTTCGGCAGCCGTTCGACTGTGCACGCAGCTGCTAAGCTGGTAGACTTCTGTATGGAGGTCAATACCGAGCATATCGTGGTTGATCCTGCTGTTGCCGAGTGGCCCAAGCTGTGAGGCGAAGGTTGCATTATACAGCCAATCACCTGAGCTCCATTCCCCAGACCGCCTCACAGCCCTAGGTTCCCCATTTCCCCTGCACTCGACACATACTTGACTCCTGAAGTGGAGAAGCCCCACACCGCAGTGGAGGCACAAGTACACACGGAAAACGCCAACTTTGTCTTCATGTATCGTCATTGCTACATACCGCGTACAAGCATAGCCCCATAAGGATACATCGCATAAAGACAAACCAGCAGCGCTCTCCAGATACCCGACCAGCGGACCACGACCAACAAAGAAGAGTACGTCGAGCAGGAGAAGAGGAAACCACACACATAAACGCACAAAACTGCATCAGCTCCCAATCGGCTCCCAGCCCTCACCGAAGCCGTTGGTCCAAGCGTGCGGGGCTTCATGTTGTGCATTGCAGCCTGCGCGTGCGTGTGGCCCTGTCATCCTATGCTCGTCTCTCCCCTCTCATCAGCCTGTCCGTTGTATGGTATATGCGAGGACCGTCTCCTGAAAAGACGAGACGCGGCTAGAACGTGAAGCGCTCAGTACAGACGGACGGGCTTGCCCATCGTCGACTTGATGTGAAGCGACTTCACGTTCTGCCAATTCTTCTTGAGAAGCGAGACGAGGAAGTTGATGCCTAGACACACGATAATGAGCTCTCGGGGGATGACGGGACGAAAAGAGTTAGACACTTACTCAGCATGACGTTGGCAAGAACCTGGTCGTCGGACATCTGGACGTGACCGACGGCGACGCCCAAGCAAAGCACCTTCTTGAGCTGGAACTTGATGGTTGAGCGGACCTCGGTGATCTTGTTCTGGAGGTCCTCCGCGTGGGAGACGGGCGTGGGGAACTTGCCAGCTACAAGAGGGCATCAGCACTACGGCCCCTGCGTCTATGCGAGGGATAGGTGCGTACCCTTGGAGAGACCAGGGCCAAGCAAACGGGGAATCTGCTTGATGAGGGTCTCCGAGGCCAAGAAAGCGTCGTACTGCTTAGCAAGCTTCTTGACGAGCTTCTTGTTCTTGTTGAGCTTCTTCAAGTCGTCGACGGACTTGTACTCAAGGTCGATCTGCTTAGCACGGTCGATATCGGCGGCATCTGCGAGGATGCAGATAGACATGCGAGGGCGGGGGACATGAGGGAGCCTATTCGCCATTCATTGGTCAGTAATGCGGTCAAGTGGGCTGAGACGGAGGGCGTACTTGACGGTACCCGAGAAACGCTTGTCGCGCTGGGGGTCGTAGTTCTTGAGACCAATCTGGAGCTCGATTGTCTCGACGAAGTTGCGCTTCTTCTCGCCGTTGGACTCGGCGAGAAGCTCCTGGATAGAGCCCCGCACGCTTGACACTGAGAGCTTGCTGCCGCTGTTTGTGTAGTCGCAAATAGCGCACAATCAGCATCTGTAACTCCAAGCTATGCGACAAAGACCTCGATCACAGACCTCATGCTTTTTGGATAGGGTCGTTGAGTGTTGAGGGCTGTTCGCGGTTGCACAGAACGCCTTCTTCGCTGCCGTCCACAAATCTTGCCCCCCGGTGGCTGCCGTGGGAATCAACTGTATAGCGTGACACAGCCTGTGACGCGGACCGGATCATCCGATTCTAAGCGCCTCATGTGCGTCCTGGTCGACTGCAGGTTGCCGTCTTGACATTGTTGCCAACGACCGTAAGTACACCTCCTCTCACTGTCAGCAGCTCCAGACATCAGTCCTCAGAGCCGACTGCTTGACCTGGTAACCAACGCTTTCGATAATGCTGATCGACGTCGGTCCTCGCGGGCAATCGTATCACACGCCTCATCCGACGTCGTCTAATGGAATGATAACCGGTACGTGCCTGTGGTGGACTCCAAGATATGACATAACCTCGTGAATGCTCGTTATGACAGCATCTCTGCCTGGGACTATAGCATAATGTCTCTTCTACCCTCTTCCTCTCTGTCATCCGCACTCACCGTCGTCGTCCCGCCGTCCATCCACTGCACCGGGGGCTTCGTCGAGGGAGAAGTACAACTCAACTTCCGCCATCTACAAGAAGAGGATATCAACCAAGTCCACATCGCGCTCCGCGGCGAGATCCAGTCGTACGTCTGCTCCATCACTGCTTTTCCCAGCAGACAGGCATCTCAATCCCCTCCTCCTCTCAGACGCGCTCGCCGCGGGAGACGCACGTACGAAGAAAACCACCTCATCCTCAATACATCTCTTCCTTTGTGGTCCAAAGGCTCCGCCTACCCCCCACCCGGTTCAGACATCCTCCGCCTCCCCTTCCGGTTCCACCTTCCGGAGGGCATTCCCCCGTCATTTCACTACAGCAAATGGTACCCTGATATCGGCGGATCGGTCGTGTACGTGCTCGAGACGACGGGTGTGCGGGAGGGGTTGCTCAAGGTGAACAAGAGGATCCCAACGCCGATTGTTGTCACGCCAAGGGATGAAGTGGGCGCGGCCGTAAGGGCGGGGACCAGTACAGCCTGGAAGAATGTTAGGGCGGAGGAGAAGATACGGAAGGGCATCTGGGGCGAATACGCGACTGCGAGGGTTGTGGTGAGTGATTTTCCCCTTGCCCTCCCGACCCCAAGACCCGCAGTGGGTGAGAGGAAGCCACGGGGACGCCATCCACATTGCATCCGAGATCTCGCGCGCAAGGTCTCCGCACCCATGACGCGCAACGCGCTTCTGCTACCTGACATCGCTCTAACGCGCACTCTGTCGCGCCTGGAGGTGTGGACAGGTGTAGTCTTCGCCGCCGGATGTAGCTGAGGCCCGTCGCGCGAAGGCGTGAGTCCGTGAAAGAACTGGCGATCGCCCACTCAATGCATATGTACAAGTGTTGTTCGGTAGCACTTCCTACTCTAGACCTTCACTTACTGCTTCATGTCGGAAAAACCCGATCGGCATCTTAATGCATCCAAATACATCTCAACGGCCCAAATACGGGCCGGTCTTGAGTAGCCATCGAGAGCCGAGATATTTCCCTTTAGATAGCATCTGTATGGCCCGGACCGGGATCTGAATGGGTGGCGACTAGATCATGATGGCTGAGAGGCGGATCTCAATGGATGGAGTCTGGGTCGTGATGTCATCACAATGGTCCCGTGTTGTCGGGAGATACCGGGCTCTAGACACAAAAGGTCGAGCCCGGGGGCGCTTCGCTTCTGCCACCTTACTCTTACTAATTCACCCGCCACCTTAGAGGAATTTACTTGGTACTTACTAGTCCACTATATTGTGTACATCACTGGAATGAACCCAACTCTACAACGTTCCTTATCAGTCAACTTACGTAGGATATACAGAGTTTGTATACAGACGACATATTCTC